TTTTTAGTTTTCTTGCTCAGTTGCTCTCTTGCTGTTTTTGGCACAAAAAGTATTTATACCCGTTACTCGTAGAGCAAAAGGGTATATTGTATTCGTGCAAAAGTATGTAATAGCTAGAAATAAGCGTTTCCGACCCCATAAAGTATATATATTCTTGATCAGGGTCACTAGCCGAGTCGATCTAGCCAAGTCGGCCTGTCTGTCCGTATGAACGCTGAGATCTCGGAAACTACAAAAGCTAGAAGGTTGAGATTTCCCACACATATTCTTGGGCCTCCTACGCAGCGCAAGTTTATTTCAGCCGAGCGCCACCCCCCTCTAATGCCCACAATCGCCCACTAACGATTTTAAAATGGGTCCTGCGCCCACATCTTTAAAGATTTCCGAGAAGTATAAATGCAATTTTTTTTGTGTATATTTATACCTATCGAAAGACATTTTTCAAATTGGACCATTCATTAAAAAGTTATACGCAATCAAAATTGTTTATATATCTATCTCCCTCGCACTTCCTTTAGCTGAGTTACGATTATGTTTACCCAAACGAGCAGTTTTTGCCCAACACTAGTGAAAAGTCAGTTCTTTAGGGTGATTTAGGGTAAAAATTTCTAAAAGTGTAGGAAAAAACACCATTGATTCAAGAAAAAAAATAATTTTGTTGAGTGTATTTTCAATAAGAATATATCTAGACTAATTCATGGGGTCATTTATCCCCACCGGCCCCAATAGCTCAAATTTTCCAAATATTCTTTCGTTTGGTGTATAACTTGTTATAATCGGACTATCACAGCAGATTTTCATTTCTTTGTGTATATGTATTTAATAGTCGCCTTCGCACACTCTTCTTGTGCGTTTCGTTTTTGGCATTTTTGGTTTCATATTCTGTGAGCGCCTTAATTTATAAGTATGCCACATGCTTGTAGCGCTGGGATAAAAACAATCAAATAAATTAATATGAGCTTTTTTTATTTTTTGAGTACCACATTTCCTTTCACTTTTCATCCGATAGTCCTTATAAATCTCTAAAAATAAAGAAAAAGGGCCTGGACTCAAAACACTGTTTGGCAGTGTAATTTGTAAAATATAAAATCTAAAGAAGTAAGGTCCTGGACAAAACAAAACTATTTTGCTGTGTAATTTGTACATTTATTATTAGCTTATTCTGATCCTATGCCAAGTCATGTTAGTGCATTTTGATAAGTTACTTTGGCTGGTGCCGCTGTGGCAAATACAATTGTAATAAAAAGAATTTCCCTGATTCACTGGCATTAGGAGCAGCAAATGGCGACTTTTGCGGACACTCAGGCACATCTACACCCAGAAAAAAAGACCGAAAAAATCTAAGACCACATTCTTATATTAATACCAAAGGGTATTGATTTAAGACCAGTAAATTTAGATTTAAGTTGAACTTATGCACGCGCGCGTAACACGGTGCGATGGTCCAGTTGGTAAGGCGTCTGACTCTGATGCGAGAGGACCCCGGTTCAAAACCCAAATAAGTCAAAGTAAGTAAAAAGTTTTTCAAATGTATTTCAATTAACATTTCCTTTATAATTTTAAGAACAAAAATTTATTAAAATAGTTAAGTTGTTAATTTACTAATTACAAAAAAAAAATAAGTTGTGTTGTGAGCAGGAATTGAACCTCGTACCCCCAAACACAAAATAATACCAGAATCCAGCACCTTGGCCCCTGGGCCATGGCCTTATTATTTGCTTCCATGGCAGAATGCTTACAGGAGCATTCAAACAAAATTATTTTTTTACTAAAAATAAATATAAATTTAAGTACGTTTCGTTCTTAAAGTAAGAACAGCGGTCTTAAAAATCCGTTCTTAAAATAACACCATAAATTCTTATAATGATACCAAACGGTATAAAGCTATTTTTGAGACTCAAACAGACACGTTTTCAGACACAATCAGAACAATTTTTTCCCTGAGTGTAGGTACGTACTTATATGTACATATAAGGGGACAAGTGTTGACCGGGGCGGAAATGCTATTATTATTTTGTAAACATTGCGACAGAGTGGGTGCCCAAAATTGTCAACTTGCAAGGTCGTGAAAATACATAAAAAATAGAAAACATTCGCGTATAAAAAAACAATGGCCGCAACTAACACAGACGAGCAGCAACACATACAGCAAGACAAATAAACAAGCTAGACATTGTGTTACAGCAACATACAAACTTTTAATTAATTTCTGTCTGTGTGACCCGTGAGTATACGGGCTCATATGTCTAACTGATTGCCATGATACTTCTACGAACAGATGGGAGTGTTTTGTTTACTTGTGTGAGTATGGGGGTGTGGGTAAGAATCCTTTTCGGCGCACACACACAAATAATAACGACATGAACATTTAGTGTCGCTTTGGTGGCAAAAATGGCTTGACCCAAATGTAATCAGGTAATTTGTTTTGTACTGTCAATATTTACACTGCTGCCACGCATATTTGAACTTAATAATGATTTGCTGAGATATTGTCGCCGTATAGATACACAGGGAAAACAGGGTGGGAGCGAACCTAATGCTCAGGAGTCGGATGCATTGATTTCCCTGGAAAGCGGCGTCGCTGCTTACTCTTTAAATGTTGCATGCTCAGCCCAGACATTAACTTGGCCCTACTCGTTCTGCCTGTCAGCCAACTTCGACTGTCTGACTGCTTGACTGCCTGACAGACAGCAAGTGAAAGTAGCGCAAAAGAGCAACAACCGAAATTGATTTAATAGCCCTACAACATGGTGGCTAAATGTATACCACGTTTCATATGAATATAGGGAGTAATACCAACTCCCATTTCAGTGCACATTTCCACAGACTTCCCTGTTGAGTCAATGAGCTGCAGTGGTCTGGCTCAGAAAATTGGAAATTGCAGTTAAACCGAATTAATTACTGAATGCTTAGGCCAATCAAGCAATGAGCCTACCGTCCATTTATGCTTATAGCTCATTTAAATATCGATTGTAGATGAAATTAATAATGTATAAATTAATAATGTATAAATTAATAAATGTAGAATCAGTTTCTAATTTAAACGCTACTATGCACATAGTGGTAATTAAATTAAAATGAAGTAAACTTGGATCGTTCAGTAGAAGCACGTCTCCCCAAAATATATATATATTTTGAAAATATTTATCAAAATAGTAGGGCCTCAGGCCGTTTTCAATTCAATTACGACTCAAATGCAATGCTTACTCAATTGATGTATGCCCTATCCTAGCCGTAGGCCAACAGTTTGTTTCCTCTCGCCGTGCCAACACATTTTTATTTGTGTTATTTGTTCATTTGGCTGCCAGCAAAAAGTAGGCAACATTTTTCATTCGAGTTGAAAATGAAAGGAGAACCTGCGTTCGGTGACAACAAAACCTTGCTCCGATAGTGTCGACAGTAGGTTGATGGGCGGGCGGGAAGCAGGGAGAGATGAAGCGCTGAAAAGTGGACAGCGGGCGGGCCCCGCGGGGTGGACACGAAATCATATCGAGCACCGATGACGGCAAAAGTTGAACGGGGTCAAAGGGAATGGAATCGAGCATATTGACCATTGACTGAATGGCTGGCAAGCATGCGAGCCAACAAAAAACTTGGAGCCATATGTAGTGCGTGGGGTTTAACGCTTGCGTTATTTGCCGAGCCGTGGCAATAATTCAATTTCGGTACGTTTAAATCCCCGAGGTCATTTTGCAGCGCAAATATCTACAGGGCGACTGTGCTCCTTAATTAAGGATACTTGAGGCAAACGACCGCCTATCGATGCCTGTTTATACAATTTGCGATCTCACTCAATTCCCAATTCTTTCGCAATCGCACCAGCTTCCTTTTTAAGGCCAGGACGAGCGTCCGGCTATCCGGCTATCCGTCGCCCTTCCGCTTTCCCGCCCCCCTCCCGCGCCAAAGCGCTCATGCAAAAGCAATTTCCTGGACTTTTATCCGACCGCTAACACAGACACACACACCCACACGCTCAGGACCACTCACAGATTAAGACGGCAACCCCACTAGAAACGCATTGGCCGACTCACGGCTGCCCCAGCACTCGAAAACCAATACGAATGCGATTATGCCCCAGCAGCAGTGTGTGTGTGTGTGCTGTCACCCATACACACAGCCCAGCCAGCGTACAAATTGCGCGCTGTAAGTAAGAAATCATTGAGGTTGGTCGGCACACTAATGGAAAACGACAAGCGGCATGTGGGCAGCCGTTTACTACACCACATTCCACTCCTATCCTGCATCCTGGCGGCGGGGATAGTTGTCGCAGTAGTTGTCAGTTGGCTGGGGGATTTGCTCCACGTTCGGGTTTGGCCACCGCAGAAGTTTAGTAGCAAGCTGCGGCTCCGCTGGTGGCGGTCAACTGTCCGTCGGTCCGCTCATATGGCTGCCGGTTGCATTAGGATATCAATTTGCGGGACACGGACCCGCTACCTGCGAAGTGTGAGCGTCATTAGAGGTTCGGCTAGTGCGTTCTTTCAGCAGCCCAACGCTCCGGCACGTGACTTTGGCAAAGTGAGTTCCGTTCGCAAATGTGACACAGTTTGGGCATCTCGGAGACCAGGGAATTCGCAGTCCCTGCGAAGAGACCTAAGAGAGGGGCCGCGGAACGGACTCTCTTAAGTCCTGGAAGCGAGGGGAATCAGCTGCCGCGGCTTGGGTGGCTTCATCGTCCGAAATGGGATGCGGAAGGCGAGGGGTGGACTCGTGCCGCTGACCTGAAAGCTGCCGGAAGCTTTCGCTCGGCAGAGCCAGGCGCATGTGCGGGCTCTCTTTTCCAGTGACGAGCGTTCCCGAAGGCCGACTGAGTCCTGGTCGGCGCGGGTCGTCCTGTCAGTCCACTTCGTTTGCTCGTCGAAAGCTGTGCACGCTGCGGAAGCGACGGCATCGCTCCAAGCCCCCTACTACCAGCAACAACAACAAGAACGCATCGAGCTCTAGCGCCCAATCGACACAGACAACAAGGCTACGCGAGTGCGGGGCTGAGGTTGAAGTTGAAGCTGAAGCTGAAGCTGAGGCTTTCCGGCGGCAAAAGTGAGATTGAGGCTCGAAGAGGTGCCACAATTAAAGGGTGACGCGCGATCCCCAAGTTCAAGTTGTGCATTTAGCATTTATCTCGCTAAGGTACTTGTGTTCGGGAAATTAATGCGTGGCTGCCTGAAAATTCGCCAGTGATTTCGCGTCAAGTCAACCTCTCCAGCCTGCAGCGCTTCCCTACTCTGGCGGTGCCACTGCGAGTGCGAACGCAACTAAAAGTCAACGGTGACAAAAAGTGAAAGCGGAAACGGAAACAGAGACGGCAGAGCGCCACAGGAACCGAGAAACAGGCAGCGGCAGTGACAACTGTGAAATGTGCGGCTGCATTGTCGTTTTGTTACCACTTTGACCCAAATCGCATTGCATCCGAGTTGCGTCGGTGTGTCAGCGTTGCGGACGTATGTCTGACGGTGACTCCAGTGCGAACAGTGCATGACCGATAAGCCCGGGTTTAGTCACCGCCAAGTGAAAGTCGCGAGTGCCGGCAGCTAGTTAATACATAAAATTCATAGTACTGCCATCGATATCCGGAATCAGGAATCCGCTCCAGCATCCATTCCGGGCTCAGCCACACTTGGAAAGCCATCCACAGTTGGCCGTTTCTCGCCTGTGAGTATGACACGTGCTTAATGTGACTTTTCGCCTCCTGCTGCCTTCCTTTGACTCGTTCTGGCCCGAGTTGGCTTATTTATGTGGGATTTCGAAGTTTGGGCTTTGGTTTACGGCCTGCGGCAAGCACAAACTTGGCTGCTGTCAAACACACAACACGAACGTCGCTTGAAAACACATCATTTACGGCAGGTACATAGATGGAACCCCTCATTCCCCACGGGAGGCACCTGTCCAACTGGGTTGGTTATCAATTGGAACAAGTATAAATGAAATTTAAGATACCTCAAATCTAAATCGTAGAAGAAAAGAAAAATAATTAAAATGTTTTCCTTCAAAGAGTCAAAAATGAGCTTATAAACTAACAAATTTATAGGATGAGATCAGAAAAAGAATTTTGGTGAGTCCACTAAAATAAAGACATTCTCGGCTTCTAGCTAGCCACCAGCGTACCACTGTATCGATTAGATTTCAATTAGATCAGAAGTTGAGTCAATATAACAGTGTAAAGCGATTTAATTTTTGGTCCCATAAACAAAATTAGGTTGAGCTAATAAAAATAGCCAGCAATTATTTTCCAGCTACGTGCTTTAAACAAGCTATCCTGAAATTCCAGTCCAGAACTTAAAAAGAAGCCTGGCCTACGACTATTCGTCAGTATCAAAGCTTACACACAGAAGCTCGGAGATCGGGAGTCCGTCGGCATTCAATGAAATGGCAAATAAGAGCATATGAAAGTTGCTAGGAAAAGGCAAATATTTGTTAGCGAATCCCTTGGAGACGGGCGCTAATGGTGAAAGTCGTTGTCGTTTCATGTGTGGCGGAGATCCCAGCGCAACGAAGTGTGTGCGTGTTTTTGGAGTGGTATCCGTGTGATTAAAGTGGGTTGGCGAGGACGGCAGGGGAACGGACACGCAAAAAGCAATTAAATGTATTTCCGCTTCGATGTCAATTTTAATGCGAGTTTGATATTTAAAAGCGCGCACGCACACACACACGTGCAAGGCAACAAGGTCGTCCATGTGGGAACGCGGAAGTCCTATGTCAATGCTGGACTGTCATCGGACCAGTTGGGCGGTAGAAACAGGAACAGGAGTGTTTCGTCACCTCGGGGTCTGACATGCAGAAATCCAACGGCAGAACGTTAGTGTGGGTTAGGCGTTTGTCACGCCTCATCCTAAAAGGTCCTTCCTCACCGTTAAGCTAAATGCGGCTGACACGCCTGATAGTCCGAAGCCACACGTCTACGGGGCAGTTTTAGGTTTATTTTGACAACTTGTGTGCAGGCTAATGAGCATTGCAGACGCGAACGTATGAGTAATGGGCGTTTATTATACGCCCTGTGGCCGACCGACTTATTTGGTCCTTGAGCGGAGTCACAATGTCAACTTGCCTGGGCAAACATAGCACAGCAAATATTTAGATTCGAGTTCTACTAAAAAGTGGCTCATAAAGTACTCGCCTTACTCGGCAAATTTTTGTTTTGCCTCGTCTTGTGTTGTCTCGACTTGACTTGTTCTGTTTTGATTTGATTGTGTGCATATGAAAATCTTTAGTAGAGTGTGTGCCATTTCAGGCCAGCTTTTTGCTACGCTCCGAGCTCTGTCCTGTTCATAGTTATTTATGCAAAATACCCAGAAGCATAATAGCAAAGGCAAATAAAAAACAAACAATATTTAAATAACGGATTACAAGCAAGGGCGAAGCACAATTCGGGTATTGTGGTGGAAGGCGATGCTGATGCTGCTGCTACAGCAAAAACGGAAATTGGAACCAGATCCGTGGACGGCATGTAAGTTTCACATTTAGTTATGAGCCCCGCTACTTGGCTGACTGCCTACCCGAGTCACTGGATCAGTGCGTAGACTGGCTGGCAGCCTGCTGAGGCTTCCCCCGTCTCTTCTCCACATCACTTCATTGTGTCTCCGTCAAAAAACATTGTTTTTATTCTGGTTTATAAATTCATTTTTATTCATTAGACTTCGTTCATTGCACGATGATGTCATGTTAGCCAAGTCGCGAACGCACGTACGCACAAGTCGTAAGGCCCCCAAGAAGATGTTCCCAGGGAGTATTGCATTTGGCAGAAGCATCAGCATATCCATGAATTTTGAACGCGCTCCATTTTATGGTTTTTATTTAATTTCATGCACATGCAAGCATCGTTTGGCAACCCAAAAGACTTAGCATAATTTACGGCGCTGCTGGCCATTCGATTGTCATTCAGATGCAGTGCAATCAGGGCGCTGCCAACTTTTAATTTCCATTTATTTTTGTGACTTTTGCTCCGGCAGGTCCGGCTTATCTTCCTGTGTTCAACCCGCATTGTGCGACTCTTTGGAGATAAATATTGGCTGGCATCTTTTAGTGCTTTCCGTTTGATTGAAACTCGCAAGCCGAGTTTTTGGCAAAGCCCATCGGACTCCAAGTGCAAAAGTTTCCAAATAGGAAGCGAACTGGTCAAGATACTATTGTAAAAGCAAACTGGCTCAGGCTTCTCGAAAGTAAAGTCAATCAAATACCTAAAGAGTTTTATGACTGGAAATTTAATGAGGCCCCAACATGGGCATTAACAATGGGCTGCATGATATCGAGCAGGCAATATAAATTACATCTTCCGCCTGGGCTTTACAAATTAAGCCCTCAATTAAGACTTTGCATAATCAAGACAAAAAAGAAGTCGGCCCCGCGAAGTGATGACTGGAAAATTACACGAGCAGCTCGCCTCGCCCCAATCATGATTGATGGGGGGAGTCCCACCTGTTCCCACCGGGAAAATTCCTCTGGAAAATAACATATTTTCAAGAGGTTTCTCCATAGAAGCGGAAGGGACTAAACCTCATTCACCCCTTACATTTCTTCCATCTCTGGTTTCAAAATACACGGGGGTGACACAAAAAGTAAGGGGGATATGAGGTTTCTATCTGGATCTCTGGCAGAAGAATGCAGGACAAAATCCACTGGTTTTTCGACTTCCCGCATTATAGATTTTCCACACGTACCCAGTTATGGTTTTCCTCCACTTGCAATATCTGCTTTTCTACACCCTCCCAGTTTTGGTTTTTCCAGACCCTCGCAGTTTTGGTTTTGCACTGCTTTGCAGTATCTGATTTTCCACAATAAAAATCATGTTTTTTGTAATATTTGTTTGTGTATTTATTAATAATATTTACAATCGAAGCATTGGAACTACAAATTTTTAATGCCTGAAGCATTCCCGGGTTTTGCTTGGCCGAATGCAGTACTTAGATATCCATTTCTTGTCTGTCTTCTGAAAATATCAAACATAATTTAGATATGAATGTAAGACCAGGAATAATAATAAGAGTAATTACCATTATTAGGTCTCCGCACAAAATTAAAGGATCTCTCCAGAAATTTTGCCTGGTTTGCCATGGCCGATCATTTACCATCTGTTCAGTTGTTTTATGTCGGGTATCTATATCAAAAACTATGAGAAGAATAAATAAAATATGACAAACGCAGGCGCAACACTTCTGGTCCCAAGAAGTCTCAGTCGGCCTGGCTGAAATAAATGTTATATTTTGATTAAGTTAAACAACTAAGTTAGTACTGAAGTACTATTTATACAACCATTTAATAAACACCTCACACCATTTACCACTGGTAAAGATTAAAAACATTTCAAGTGTCACTGAAATGCAGAATTTGTGTTGAAGATAGCATCCGGAGGCGTATATTTATTAATGGCGAAAATATCTGTGATACTAACCTTTGTAACGCTGAAATAAAGGTTATAAAAAGACAAAATTCATTTTATCACTCACCTTTTTATTGTTTTTTAGATTAAAATGAACTATTTTCACTTTTTTTCACTTTTTCCAACAAATTTAAAAATGATGTGACCCTGCATCATATACTTGATAATACTAAATGCAGATTTGATATAAATTTCGTTGTAAAGTCCGGTCACACTTTGGCGCCAAATAAGTATTTCGTTTAAAAAATACTTTTCAGGGACCGTAATCATTAAAGGTTACGTATATTATTGGTATGTTAGGCATTTTTCGTGTTATCAATACCACCAACACGAATTTTTATATTTTAACAACACTTAAAAATGGCTTAGGCCACGATCTGACGATCAAATTATTTTATTTCACAGAAAATGTTTAAAAATGTAAAAAGCAACAATAGTTTTCTTTGTAATTTAATGTAATTACTTGATAAATGTGATCAAATATTTTAATCGTCTTACCGTGGCTTTTCTCTATAATTTGGTTGAATCCCACATTCATCCTTATTATTATTTGAAAAATGTTGAGTAAAATAAATTAATATTATCATTATAGACATTATGATAATAATGTTATATAGTTTAATTTTTTTGATTAACAATTATTAATATTTTTTCTACGACTTTTAAAATTACTAAAAATTAAAACTAAATGTGAGAACAAGTCTTTTGGTTTTGGCGTAAATCATAGGATTTTTGAATATTATAAGTTGGTGATTTTCTTGTTTAAAAATATTATAATCGTAGTGCCACAGAAATCACACAGCGCATAAATGGCCTGATATTGATGCTACTCAGAAACCCACCCTCATTTAGCGCTCAGAAATTATCTATCCCTACACCGCCGCCTGCAAAAAGGAACAGGATTTCAAGAACACAAAAACCAACTTCTCACATTCCCGCTGGGTTCACATGTACTGTCCAAGTATCAGTATAGAATTTTTCTGAATTATTCAGGAAATTGGCTAATTATCGAAAGAGCTTGGGTTTCGTGTCTCCTGTCCTGGGATTTGTGCTTCTGTGTCATGTGTGCCGTTCGAACTACAAACATTCTATTAGCACTGAATGAATTATTAATAACTGTGTCAGCCGCCTGCTAATGAGATGTTGTGTGGACTGTGTGGGTGTAATTCACGCACCGGATGGCATGGGCTACTCAACCGGACACTTAAATTTTGGCAGTGTTTGCTTAGGCCTAAGCAGAAAATCATTAGTTGAAATGCGCAAATATCTCTAACGTTTT